TTCTGGTTCAATCTAAATCCTGATACTGTACCATATTGTTCTATAATGTCTTTCATCTGGATTATTGATTCCATCGGCTGTGTTAGGGTAACTACCAGATCATCTGCAAATGCCCTTATTCTGTAATCCTCTTGCCTTATCACTATTCCTTTCAAAGTACTCGAGTCCCGTATTATATTCAACAAGACTTCTAATGTTAAAATAAATAACAATGGGGATAACGGACAACCCTGTCTTGTTCCTTTTTCAATATTAAAGTCTGTTGTCAAACTTCCATTAATAATAATCTGTGCCTTTTGTTCTTGATAAATTGCTGAAACCACCTGTATAAATTGATCCCCAAAGTCCATCTTTTTTAAAGTCTTTAATAGAAAGTTCCAATCCACTCTATCAAAGGCCTTCTCCGCATCCAAGAAGACCAGCACTGCAGGGATCTGTTTATTCTTCTCAAGATATTCCAATAAGTCTATAACTTGCCTTACATTATCCTTCATGTATCTGCCTTCTATAAATCCCGCTTGATCACAATGAATCACCTCTTGAATAACTGGCATCAACCTGTTGGCTAATACTTTTGCAAATATTTTATAGTCATTATTCAGAAGAGATATTGGTCTAAAATTCTCAGGTTTTTTAGGACCTATTTGCTCTTTCGGTATCAATGAAATATAAGCTGTTTTCCATGATGGGGGTATTTTACCCCCTTGTTGTATACTACAAAATAGATCTTTAAGATGTTCAATCATTTCTGCTTGTAAGGTTTTATAGTACACCGCAGTTAAACCATCCGTCCCAGGAGCTTTAGCTGTTTTCAATTGTTTAATTGCGGCAATAATCTCCTCAGCTGTTATAAGATGATTCATTCTCTCCTTTTGTTGACTAGTAATTTTTGTGACTCTTTTATTTTCTAGATATTTCTCTATAAGTCCATTCTGTGTATCGTCTTTGGCATATAATTTAGTATAATAATCTACAAAAACATCTTTAATTAATTTTTATTGAGAGATTTCCTTCCCTCCAATATCAATACTATCAATAATCCGTGTACTCTGTTTCTTCCTTAATGTATAAGCCAACCATCTGCCCGGTTTATTAGCGTTGCAGAATGTGTTATGTTTCGCAAATTTAAATTTGTTGCTGTTTGCTCCGCCATAAGCATTTGAAATTGATCTTTCAGAAGTTTTATAGCTCCTCGTATTCTTTCATCTGTTGGGTTTTTTATAAGTAACTGTTCTTTATTCTTTATTTCTGCTTCCATTTCAGCTCTTTTCTTTTGTCGGTTTAATTTGTGTTTAGAGTTCATATGGATGAGTACCCCTCTCATATACGCTTTACTCGCCTCCCACACAATTATTTATTCAAATTCATTTCAAAAAAATCTTTCATCTGCTTTTTAAGTTCTGTTATATTCTTTTCATATCTAAACAGATTTTAGATTTAGATTTTATTTAAACAGATTTTCTTTTTTTTTATTTATTTAAACAGATTTTCTATATTTGCATACATAAACACCATCTTCATTTGTCCCTAGATTCTAACTTTACTATTTATTCATATTTATTCTCTTTTATTCTTAAACAGTTCATTCTTTATCTTAATATATTTATATTTGTTTGTCGGAGTTGCCTTTCTTCCACTTCATCTTTTTTATTGCACAGCAATCTTTCTCCTCAAGCATACCCTCTCCCTCTTCCCTATCTCTTCCTACTTTCTTTCCCCACCTCCTTCTTCTCTTCTCTACTTCCCCTTCCCTTCTCCTTCTCTCTTCCCCCGTCTTACCTTTTCTCCTACTCTAATTTCCCTTCCCTTCCTTCCTCCCTACTCTTCCATCCCTCTCTCTCCTTCCTCCTCCCTTCCAACTCTCTTCCCCTCCTTCATCTCTATTGCTGTATTCATTTTCAATTTAATATTTTCCACCGTGGAGGCCAGGCAGCCCCGATCCCTTGTCCTTTTAATTATTAACAGTATATTTCATCTTATTCCTTTTTTTCTTTCAAATCTTTACTCAATCTTCTAATCCTTTATCTTTTTTACTTTTACCAATGTATTTTTTCTGCTTTACTTCTTGCAAGTATAACATTTAAATCATTTTTATAATTTCAATTTCATTCAATTTTACATTCAATCTTCCTATCTTAACAATATATTTCCACTTATTCAAATATATATTTATAAAGCGCAGCTTAATAATTTCTCATTTTACCCAATCCAATTAGTTCTTAAAATAATTTGCCTTCTTTTCTCTTTTTGATTGTTTCAGATATATAGTTTGAAATATTCCAATTATTACATTTCCCCCAGCAAGTTTAGTCATATTATTAAAACCTATCATTCTATAGACCTCCAATATTATTAAGCATATGATATTTATTACAGTTTCTCCAGTTTTCAGTAGAGCATATTTAAAACTTAAAATATAGAGTATAAGTCCCATTCCCCTTATTTCATACCGCTTTATATTCCCCTTATTTTAAAATCACTTAATTAATATCACTGTTTTATCTTTTTTTCTGACATTAAACTCATCTATTAAATTTTACAGTTCTGAATATATTTTCATTTCTTTCTGTCTTTCTGTCTTTTTCCTTTTCTGCCTGCCGGGGTAATTTTAGTAGTTTAAAATATTTATAATTTTCTTTTTATTGTCTATGGGTTGGCCAAACACTCACCCAACACCAACACTCTGTCCAAATCTTCCTTCCGGCACATCGCTTGCTCCAGAGGCTCCAGCTTCATGGCGATTCACCCTGATCACCGCCTCCCATCACTGACTCGGAGAGTTTCTCCAAGGGACTTGCCTGTCCCTCTTTAGACACCGAGCTGCCTCTCCTTCTTCACTGTCCTTACAGGACAGTTTCAGTCTGAAGACACGCCCCCCCCCCCCCCCCCCGGTGTCGGTTCATCTAGCTGGTTTTTGCCAGGCTCGTCGGAGCCCTGCATATTCCTAGCCAGTCACGCTGTGCCGCTTCTGGATTCTCAACTGATTCCTATTTATGACGGTTGCAGTGTCCCCTTATCACCTGATCCCCTTTTGCAACTTTCTGACAAGCAAAGTCAATGGAGAAGCCAGGTTCACTTAACAACCTGGTTATTAATATAACAACTGCAATGATTCATTTAACAACTGTGGCAAGAAAAGTTGTAAAATGGAACAAAACTCACTTCATGAATGTCTCACTTAGCAACAAAAAATGTGGGCTCAATTATAGTCATAAGTCGAGGACTACCTGTATTTACTTCTCTGGGCTTTGGAGGCTCTGCCCTTTTGTATGCAGACCCAGGTTCTGCCCAAATAAGTCCCATGAACGATCCTGAAAATGATCTTCAAAATCTTTGGCGCCCTGAAATAATTTCTGATCTGAAGAGCTTTCAGAATGGACACAAACAAGAGGCCTTGGAGGTTTTCCAATTTAATCTTATTTTCTTTTAATTCTTTTAATCCATTTACAAGCTGTTGTTTATCTGTTCATTGGGCAGCCTTAGAGTCTCTTCTGTGTTTCTATTTTGACAATAAGAACTAAACAGTGACTTAATGTGATTTTTTTGGTCATTGTTAGTAAAGTTTAGCATAGTTTTCTGTCTTGTGAATTTAGCCTGTCCTTCAAAGAAGGGTTAAAAAAAACTTTGATTCTCCTCATTCCGGAGTTTGCATGATAAAAACTGACATAATTTTGTATCTTTATCTTGGATTCCCCAGAGGGGCTTTAAAGATGATAGGACCCTCCAGACAGAGAGTGAATTTAGGGAGAGGACCCCAGCTGAGCCCCCTCCCCGAAATATGGGCGATGGCAACAGAAGCTCCCAACCTCCTCCTTGGGGGCAGGGGGTGGGGCCAGGGTGGAGGGGCCAATGGTTTTCTGGGGGTGAGGAGAATTCTGGGAGTTGAAGTCCAAGTGTCGGAGTCTGAGAAACTCTTAATTTAGGCCTTTACGTTGAGAGTCACTGATCACGTGAAGAGTTGGGTAGCCAGGATCTCAATCCCCTCCAAGGTGGCTGAGGGGCATTTCTGCCTTTCTTTGTGCTGACCAAGTGCAGGATCAGCCCCAGAGGAGGAGAAGGGTCAGAGCAGCTTCTGGGGAAAGTGAAGGGGGAGATTCAGAGGGAATCTGGTGCATTGCAAAGGTCTTTGAAGGAGAGTTTGAGAGCCCTAATTGGGTTGCTGAAAGGAAGAAATCTTGGTTTAATCAGACTGAGATTTTCTGTGGAAGGAGGAGGAGCCCCTCTGAGTCCTGGGTTCAAAATCCGATTCTTGCTCAGATGGCTGAACTCTGGGAGGGGAGGGGGGATTTTCCAGCCAGGAAGCGGGGGGAACAGGGATGAGGAGGAAGATCTGGGGGGCTAAGTCACTTCATTGCTCCTTCCTTCCCTCCCCCCTTTGCCCTTCCCCATTTGGGTTTCCCCCAAAGGATCCAATGGCCTCTGGTCTCACCCGGATTCCCCCTCCCCCATTTTATAAAACCCCTCCTCAAATCTGCACCTATTAACAGTCCAGGTTGGCCTTCAGTGAAGTCAGAATGGTGTTTTTTTTGTTCTGTGAATGGAAAGGAGGGGGGACCAGGGGGGGTTTCCTGCTGCTTTTGAGCTTCTGGGAGGGTGGAATCCCCCCTTTTACCTGTGCAGCCATTGCAGCTTCCTTGGGGCAGAGGCTGAGCAACCCAGAAGGGGGCTTGAGGGAGGCCTTGCTGGAAGGGGGGAGGGCACCATTGGGGCAGGTAAAGTTTGGGGGACCCTCCCCTCCCCTCCTCTCTCACCCCACCCACCTTCCCTTCCCTCCAACCCTTCAGTCCTTCCAGAAGCTCCTTTTTTCCCCTTTCAATCACTCCCTCATTTCCATCTCCTACCTCTTCTTCCACCATCTCCCCCTTCCTTCCTTCCCCCCTTCCTCCTCTGCCCCCCAACTCTTCTCCTCTTCCTCTTCCTTCTTTCTCCCAGAGCCTCCCAGATGGGATCAGGGTCCTTGGCTGAAGCCCCCTAACTTTTCCCCTCTGGCTCCCTTCCAGGCGCCTCCTCCCACTCCCTGAAGTATTTCTACTCCTCCATCTCGGAGCCCAGTCAGGGGCAGCCCCACTTTGTCACTCTGGGGTACGTGGATGGTCAGGTCTTTGTTCACTACGACAGCAACAGCCGGAGGAAGCAGCCTCGAGTCTCCTGGATGGAGAAGTTTGGGAAGGACAATCCCCAGTACTGGGACAGAGAGACCCAGATATCACGTGACTCTGAGGAGCAGTTCAGAAGAGGCCTGGAGACTCTGAGGAGTCGCTACAACCAGAGTGAAGGTGAGTGATGGGTCGAGTGGCTCCTCCCTTCCAATTGGTGCATATGGACTTGGTAGGGCCATTGAAACCCTCTGTAGGGCATAGGAAGCGATTCTTCCTCACGATTGTGGATGACTACACCAGATACGGGTATGTCTACTCCCTCAGACACAAAAATGAAGTATTCCAAAGGTTTAAAGAATTCCACAGAAGAGTAGATATGCAACATAACATGAGAATAAGGCAGATAATGACAGACAGGGGCTCAGAATTCATGGCCAAAGAATTCACAAGGTGGTTGAGAGAACAGGGCATAGCGCATTACACCTCTTCACCTTTCTCCCCATTCCAAAATGGAGTCTCAGAGAGTAAGAACGGAGTATTGCAAACCATGATGAGGTGCGCCCTGGAGGATGCTGGGATGGGGCAGCATTTCTGGTCAGAGGCACTACACTACGCTAATTACACCCTGAATAGACTGTGGTCAAGCTCTATCAATAAGACACCATACGAAATGCTATACAACAGAAAGCCCAACATCGCACACTTACACATATTCGGCGCCCCAGCCGATGTCCACATCCCCAGACAATTAAGAAAGAAAGGAGAGAAATTATCCAAAAGACTGAGATTCGTGAGTTACGAACCGGGCACAAAGGGCTACAGATTTGTCGACAACAACAACCGTTTTGTGGTTTCCAGATCAGCCAATTTCCACGAAAATGCAAACTGGTCGAGGGTACACTCCAACGACATTCCCACCAATAGGTTCACATTCGAACATGACCAAGGGGGAAAGGAGGTCAGAGAGGTCGGAGGGCAAAAAGCCAACAATCGCAAGGCGAGCATCAAAGAGTGGAAAGAAGGGTACCCTTCCCTAAAGATAGATGATCTGACAGACAAAGAGGCAGACAACATGCAGGAAACCGAGCCAACCCCCAGCAGGCCAATCAGAGAAACCAGAAACAAGCTGCCAAGGAAGCTGGAGGACTACGTTATGGCCATCCACAACACCCATTTCACGCCCAGCTCATACGAGGACATCCTCGGGCTCCCCCAGAAAGAGAAAGAAGAATGGATGTCTGCCATGGAGAAGGAGATGGAGAGCCTAAGGAACCTCCAAGTATACTCACCTGCCCAAATTCCAGAGGACAAAAAACCAATAGGAACCAAATGGGTGTTCAGAGTTAAGACATTAGAAGACAACAAGGTCCTGTACAAGGCAAGACTAGTCGCGCAGGGTTTCGCCCAAAGATACCCCGAAGACTATACAGACACCTACTCGCCAACCGTCAGGGCGGAGAGCGTCAAAAGCGCCCTGGTGGTGGCCACCATCCTGGGATTGGAGGTTTTCCAATTCGACGTACAAACAGCGTACCTGCACGCCGAGTTGGACAAAGAGATATACGTTAAAGCACCGCCTGGGTACAACGAGGGCGGGAACCAAACCTGGCTGCTGAACAAAAGCCTATATGGGCTCAAGCAGTCGGGCAAAAGGTGGTATGACTGCCTAGCCAAAGCTCTCAGATCCATGGGCTTCGAGGCCACCTCAGCCGACAAATGCTTCTTCACGAAGAGAGAAAACAACACATTCGAAGGTGTGCTCATTTATGTGGACGACATCTTGTACATCAGCAAGCACAAGGACAGATGTGACAAGTTCGCCACTGAGCTGGGTAGCCACTTCTCCCTAAAGTCACTTGGGAAGATCGATAAATACCTAGGGGTCCAAGTGATAAAAACCAACAAGGGTTTCCGCCTCTCCCAGAGAGAAAAGATCATCGAGCTGCTGTCCAAATGCAACATGTCCGAAGCAAAACCCAGCAAAACCCACATGCAACCAGAGTTCCTGAAGACCATGTACGAGGAATCTGAACCTTTCACAGACAATAAGTTGTATAGATCAACGATAGGGTCACTGCTGTATATATCCAACTGGACCAGGCCCGACATCGCCCTGGCCGTCAATCTACTGTCCAGACATGTAAGCAAACCCACGATAACACACTGGAACGCCATCAAAAGACTTCTTAGATACTTAAAATTCAGTGCAGATGCCCTACTCTGCCTAGAGCCAGAAACATCCGAGAAACCAAAGCTAACCTACTATGCTGACGCTGACTGGGCTGGGGACATAGAGTGCAGAAAAAGCACCTCTGGCTACGTGCTACTACTCAACAATTGCCCCATCCATTGGTACACTGGAAAGCAAAAACTGGTGGCCACATCAACTACGGAAGCAGAATGTGTTTGCCTATCCAAGGCCGCAAACAACTTAGTATGGTTCGATGACCTGCTCTGCAACATCTGGGCTGAACCCTCATATCCAATAGTCATCCACGAAGACAACAAGGCAGCGATAGAGATCTCAAAGGCCGATGCTATAGGTCAGCGATCTAGGCACATTGACATTAAATACAAACACGTCAGGCAGTTTTCAGAAATAAGTTTCATTAAGGCAGTACACTGTGACACAGAGGAGCAAACAGCAGATATTCTCACCAAACCCCTACCACATAAACAGCATGCATACCTCATGTCTAAAATGCGTGTTTACATGTAATTCGTGCCCGTGCCTGTATATTCTCTGTATGTATACAACCACTTCCTCAGGTACCCAGTTAGACATTTAGAGGGGTTTTTGTCATGGTAAATGTCTAACTACTACATCTCCCTGATCACCCGGACCTGCAAGGGTTAACTGACCACATATCCCATAATCCCTGTAACCACTCCTTACCTCTTTGCCCCTCCTCCTGGGTATAAAGGCTCCGACCACATGGTCCACACTGCATTCCAGATGTATACCTGAAAGAGAAAGGTACAAGGTCAGTGACCTCCAGTACCATTAAATCTATAATAAAGTTACAGAAAAGAATCGAAGTCTGTCTCTGAGTTATTGGCTAGACCCAGCTTTTAACATTTTTCCCATGGGGAGATCAGGGAATCTTCTCTCGAGAGCAGGATCAGATTGCAGCTCACGAGGTTCTTCCTCTTCCTCCAAAGGGAAGTTCTCTGGCTGAGCAGAAGATGCAGAGAAAGGATGCTTCACCCGTCATTCCTGGGTGTGGAAAGGGAGGGAAAGGACTGGTTAGTTTAGTTCAACTGTCCTTACAGGAGGTTTTCCATTAGATTTGAGAATTCCTGGCATCCTTCCTCCCTCTCAAGCCCAGACAGGAGTAGAAACATTTCAAGATTTCCTTTTGGTTTTTTCAAACATTCAGTTTTCGTTTTAAATCCAAGAATCTGTTCACTTGAAGTTGAAATATCTTCTCCAGGGCCTTGCAGAGTCTGTGAACTTCAAACTTCATTTCAAAGGTCAATAACCCTTTGGGTCTCCAGATGAGACTGGGCCACTTGCTGCTGTTGCTAAGGAAAATATTCCTTTGTGGCCCTTTGAGGCTTCATTCCCACATTGCACTAAACCATGGTTTGTTTCTGGTTAGCACAATGTGGGAACCAGCCTTTGTGACTTGGTGCTATTTGTGAAGGTAGACCAAGATTTATGGTCACAGGGATCCCTGCAAGCTTTTGTGTAGATCAACCAGATTCTTTTTGAGGCCATGGGATTCTCAGTCCCTCTTTGCAGCCGCAGATTCAGGCAACTGTTCCCTCTCTGGCATCCCTTCCTTTCCCTCCCCCCTCCCCGAGTCTCCCCAACAGAGAAATGGTAGAAGGAAAGATGGAAGGGATTTCCGTCCCTCCATTTCTTCTGTGACTCCTTCTTTTCTCAGTCTCCCTTGGGATCCTCTGCTGGCTTCTCCAGCTTTGCTTTTTCCTGGGGAGGTTCAGGGGCTCCATCCTGGGAGGGAAAATGTAGGGAGGTGGGTTGAGGGAGGGGAGAGGGGCTGTTAGTGATGGGGGCTTTCTTTCCCTTGATTGTTAGGGAGGAAATGGGGGAATCGGTGCCTCTCTTCATTGTCAAAAGTCCCTGCAGGGAGGGGGATCTCTGTTTATCTTGAGGACTCCCCAAACCATCATCTTGTCCCTATTTCAGGACTTCACATAATACAGTGGATGTATGGCTGTGAGCTCCGGAGAGACGGGAGCAAAGGAGGGTTTAACCAGCATGGCTACGATGGGAGGACCTTCCTCACCTTTGACAAGGAGATCCTCACCTGGGTGGCTCCTGATCCCCAGGCCCAGATCACCCAGAGGAAATGGGACGCTGCTCCAGGAAAGAATCAGGGATGGAAGACCTACCTGGAGGAAATCTGCATTGAGTGGCTGGAGAAGTACTTGTCCTATGGGAATGAGACGCTGCTGAGGAGAGGTGAGCATCTGAATGCAGACTGGACTTTCCTCCTTTATGGCCGGATCTCTTGTGCACATTCAGCCCCTTTGGGTCCCTGGTCTGGAGCCTTTTTGCCCTGGTAGGAATCCTCCCCCTTTCAGCCTCTCTCCAAGACATGGGAAGCCCTGTTTGGTTCTCATTGCCAGGCAGCCATTCAATGGACCAGGAAATGCAGCCTCTGCCTGGCAGCTGTCTGGGTGGGTCAGGCAGGACAATCACTTAGTGGTGTCCTGTTCACTGCCCACAATGAGGCAACCATTTGGGGCTATTCATTGAAACCTCCACTAGCCAAACTGTAGTCAAGTGTGGTGGGCATCTTTAATTTCCCCCCATTAACTCTGTTTCTCCCCACATCCCACAGGAGGCTCCCTCCCTGCCTTGCACCTGATGGTGCACCTCCCACCCCCACCGCTAGAGGGCTCCACTTCTACCATTAATAAGACATTATCAGTGCCCCCACTTGGGCAAAGAAGGCCATGGATGAGGGGTTCTTTTCTTTTCTTTCCAGGACGGTGGGGAGAGCAAAGTTTCTGTCAAACCTCAAACAGGTTCCCACAATTCTCAGTGAGCCTTTCTCAAAACAACCCCCTCCCCACCTTCAGGAACACCCCTCACCCCACAGGGCGGCTCACGTTACAATCGTTACCTAGAATTTTTTATTAGTTTACCATATAGACCCATGATGGCGAACCTATGGCACGCGTGTCACAGGGGGCACGCAGAGCCCTTTCTGCGGGCATGCCAGCCGTCGCCCCAGCCCAGCTCCAAAGCACATGCGTGCACCTCCCATCTGCCAGTTGGTCTTCGGGTCTCTGCCACGTATGTGCACGGGGGCGGGGCCTTCCCCGATCTCTGCAGGTTCCACCCTCTGCAGGTGCCTCTCCGTGGCAGGAAGGCAGGAGGCAGCTAGGATGTGATCTCCACATTTTCTCCCCCATCGAGTCCTAGCTGCCCCCCCCCATTTTGGGCCTGAAAAGCCTCCTGCACCAACCTGGAAGCCAAAACGGGGCCCAGGGCGCATGCGCAGGGAGCACTCACATTGCATTTTGGGGGTCTGTCACAGGGGCACCAAAAAGGTTAACCATCACTGATATAGACCATTCCTCTCCCCTAGGTCTACCGATTCCCCCCGGGGTCCTTAATCCCTCCAGGATCAGTTGGATGAAATTAGGATCAATGGGGGAATCCATCCCCCCCCCCCGATGATTGCCAACAGCCCATCCCAGCCTGGGGAGGACCCTCTCTCTCTTCCATTGGCATCAATCTCTCTCTCCTCCCCCCCCCCTTTCAGAGACAAAATCTCTTTTCCAAACTGATCTGTGTGAGATTCCCTTTGATCTCTCTTCCCTTGGAAAGAGGCTTGGAGGACCCTCAGGTTCAGGGGAGCAGAAGAGGATGGAAAAAGTAGGGAGAAACTTCTATGTTGTTGTCGTCCTTAAAGGGAACTTAAAAGAGCATCTGCGCTATCCCTCCCCTGAAGGGAGCAGCCCAAGATCAGTCAGAGTTCAAAGCAATCAGAGAGGAACTTTCTTGGACCTTCAATTTGCTTCTGGAGGTTTTTCAGGTTGAGTCCCTGGGAACAGTGGTGGGTTTCAAAATTTTTTACTACCAGTTCTGTGGGTGTGGCTTGGTGGGCGTGGCAGGGGAAGGATACTGTAAAATCTCCATTCCCATCCCATTCCAGGGGAAGGATACTGTAAAATCTCCATTCCCACCCCATTCCAGGGTAAGGTTACTGCAAAACCCCCATTTCCTCCCAATCAGCTGGGACTTGGGAGGCAGAGAACAGGTGGGGGCAGGGCCAGTCAGAATTTTTACTACCGGTTCTCCGAACCACTCAAAATTTCCGCTACCGGTTCTCCAAAACTGCTCAGAACCTGCTGAAACCCACCTCTGCCTGGGAAGGACTCAAAATCAGGAGTTCTTGTGGTTGAGCGTTTTCCAGATTTGGAGCATTTCCTGAAACTCTTGGAGACACTGCAAGTGTGGAATTTAAATCCTTGGGTTAAAACTAAGTGATGGGAGATTTCCTGCCCCTCTAAGTTTCTCATCCATGGAAGGAAGGGAAGGGAAATTAGAGAAGGAGAGAGGGGAAGAGAGAAGGAGAAGGGGAGGGGAAGTAGATAAGAGAAGAGGAGGAGGAGAGAAAGTAGGAAAGAAAGAAAAGAGGGAGATGGTAGGTTGGAGGAGAAAGATTGCTGTACAATAAAAAAGAGGAAATGGAAGAAAGGCAACCCCGAACAAATACAAACATATTAAGATAAAGAATGAATTGTTAAAGAATAAAAGGGAATAAACATGAATAAATAGTAAAATTAGAATGTAAGGGCAAATGAAGATATCGTGTATTTAAATAAACATAGAAATAGTGAGATATGATAAAAAAGGGGGGGGAGAAGATTTTGGCAAGAATTGTAATTGAGTAAAATATATTTGAATTTAATTAATTGTATAAGACAAGAAACGGCCAATACTCTGTTCAAAAAAGATGCGGGGAAATGGGGGGGGGAACCAATAAAACTTGTAAATGTGCAAGTTTCTCATCCACTTTCCAGGCTCTGGAGGGGCTCAGAGTTAATTCTGGGGGTGCCGTTTCTGCAGAGACCCCAAAGGTGACGGTGAGCAGCAGGACAGAGGTGGAGGATGGGATGGAGACGCACATCTGCCAGGTCCACGACTTCTACCCCAGGGAGATCGATGCCTCCTGGACGAGGGACAGCGAGGTCTGGCTACAGGACACCCTCCATGAGTCTGTGGCCCCCAATGCGGATGGGACCTACCACTACTGGATCAGTGTCAAGATCGATCCCAGAGAGAGAGACCGCTATCGATGCCATGTGGAACATGACAGCCTGCAGGAGCCTCTGGACTTGGAACTGAAGGGTGAGAGGCTGCAGGGAGGGGAAGGCTGGGCACTTTGGCAGCCTGGAGGGTTGTGGGAGAGAAATCTGACCCCAATTGTGTCCAGGTGTGAATATACCTGAGCTTTAATCCACTGGTTTTTCCAGTGTTTGAGGTTGGTGAAGCTGCAGGGATCAGACCATAGAACTGGCTTCAGGTGATGGAAACTACAGAATCCCATCACAATACTTGGCCGATCCTGATGAAATGCCCTTAGATCCTCTCTGAGGCCTTCCCTGTTTCTTGCCCCCAACAGAAAAGCAGCAGTTCCTCTGAGCACCAGAAAGAGATTTCCTTTTGTTTACAGTTCCTAAAGTACAAGAATCAGGAGGAGTCTGGCAGCCCCTTTTCTGAAGGCAAATTCTGATTAAAACGGATGAACTGCAGCTGAGTTCAGGAAATGCAGAGAGTAGCTGGACTGATGCTTCAGGAGTCAGAAAAGAAAGTACCAAAGTCTGAGTTTTTTCTCATTAGAGACTAACAGGATTTTAGCAGGAGCTTTAAAGGTCAAAAGGTCACTCTGTGTTGCTGCTCTAAGAAAGAAGTTGCACATTATTTTATGATACGATACATGAATTCCCGAGGCTCAGCATAAAACCCAAGGAAAAGATCCCTCTCTCATAAGTGTCCCTAATGTTTTTTACACTGGACGTCCAAATTTGCAAAATTCAAATTCTAATTTTTTATTGATGATTGTCACCACGATACAAGAAATATTCAAATGTAATTGTTATGCTGATATCCCAGGGAAAATAAAATATTTGTTTTATTTTTCTGGTTGTTTATAGCAAGCATCAATTCAGAAGTGGCATAATTGCTATTCAATGGGAATCCTGAATTTTGTGCAAGAGAAATTTAAATTTGAAGTTCCCTCCTCAAACCTGCCCCCACTCCCCCAAGCAATACCACTTTATGATGCTTTCCTAAGACCATACTTGGAATTCTTCATCCAGTTTTGGTTGCCACAATATAGAAAAGATGTTGAGACTCTGGAAAGAGTGCAGAGAAGAGCAAGAAAGATGATTAGGAGCCTGGAGGCTAAAATATATGAAGAGCAGTTGCAGGAATTGGGCATTTCTAGTTTAATGAAAAGAAGGACGAGGGAAGACATGATATGTTCCAATATCTCAGGGGCTGCCACAAAGAAGAGGGAGTCAAGCTATTCTCCAAAGCACCTGAGGGCAGGACAAGAAGCAGTGGGACCATCCAGAAGTTGGATATCACCATATTCCATTTTTCATGCTGAAGTTCTGGAAGCACAAATTATAATTTTTTGCTATTCCTGGACTGGCCAAGGAAAATGAAAGTATATATTTTTAAAAAAAGTCTAGGTGATATGAACTATTTTACCTTAAATAATAAAATGCAAACACTCAAACTGAAGAAAAAAGCGTACAGATTTGCCCATTTCCACTCAAGAGTCATGGCTTATTGGAGCAGCCTATAAAAACAACAAAAATGTTTTTGTTTTAACAAATTTTGTTGATATTATTGTGTTGGTGAAGTTTTTGTTTTGCAAGCTGCTATGAGTCACAAGGTGGCAAACGGCTGTTTTTGAGTGGAAAAGCCAAAGATGAATTCAGTTGCCTTCATGCTGGGCTGGGGTGAGAAGGAGGCAGCGTCATGAGGACACGTCCTCTAACAACAGTTAGCAAGGCGCCTTCGTGTTACCTTGAGAAGGACACAAAAATGAGCCCATGGAGTTTTTAATTTGGGGAATTTCCAGCTTTCACTTCTTTAGGTCTCTTCCCTGATTGGGAGGATTGTTTGGGGTTCTCCGTCAATGATCTGCTCTTTCTCCCAATTCAGAACCAACAGATTCAAAATCCAACCTGGGGCTCATCATCGGCTATGTTGCAGCTGCTCTTGTCCTGGTGGGTGTGATTGCTGGGATCCTGGTATTCTTCAGTAAGTATCTTTTCTAGGGGGGGGTGATGGAAGGAAGATGGGGAGATTCCCCCCTAAATCTCTCCCTTTGGGAAACTTATCAGCTTCAGAAGTCCTGTTTTCCCTGCCTTCTTGGGGAGCATCTGAGATCTCAGCCTCACGCTGGGACTCCAGTCTCAATTCAGCTGAGTCTGAGATTCAGGCAGTCCTGTCTTCTTCTGAGTTAGGAAGAGGCAGTTCTGTCTCTCTCAAAGGCTTTGATCAAAGAGCAGCAGAGAAGGATTTCCATGGAAACCTTCCTCCCCTCCCAGTTGCTTCTGCGTCTGCTTCCCCCAATTCCCCTCCATCCATCTCAGAGGCAGCACGTCTCTCTTGGGGCAAATCAGGAGATACATTTGTATTTTGAAGATCTTTCTGTCTTTCTTGATGGGAGAAAGAGTCTCCTGGGGTTCTTCCTCCCACAGAGGGAGTGACTGGGTGATCTCTGGTGGATTCTTTTGAACTTTCACTGATTTTTATCCTTGCAGAAAGACATCAAGATGACTACAATGCAGTACCAAGTGAGTGATTTGTCCTCTTTCCATGTAATTTCCAACTTAGAACAGGCCTCAGAGGCACCATCACTTGAGGATTGTGTATGTGTGTTTAAACACAAAAACTCATGAAGCTGCAGAGTTGTGCTATTTCCTCCTAAGAACTAAGCTTTTCAGAACAGCCAGGCTGATATTGGGAGTGAAGATCTAGGACAAGATATAATATAATAACAATAATATTCATAATATTGATTACATATTTGCTTATCCATTTTGATAAACCTTCCTTATGTAATTAATCGTTCTCTTATGCTTCCAAATTTCTAAATTCTGTTTCTGCTAGTTAGCCATTAATAAAATAAGTCCCATGTTAAAAAGTATTCAGTTTCTTCCTTCTCCATAATTTTAAGTGTTAATCTATCCACTTCTGCGCATTCTAGTATTTTTTTAATTACATTTTCCACTGCAGGGATCTCTTCATTTTTCCAATGTTGTGCAAACACAATTCTAGCTGCTCTTAAGACATGTAACATTAAGTATGTGTTCCCTTTATTGTATTTTTCTAGTAAAATGCCCAAAAAGAATATTTCTGGTTTTAGATCTATATGTTGCTTTACCATTTTTTCTAACCATGTACGTATTTTTGTCTAATATTTTTGTGTCTTTGGGCATGCCCACCACATATGATAATATGAACCTGATGCCTGATTACATTTCCAACATCTAGTGGACATGTCCTTAAATATCTTTGCCAATGTTGTCAGCGAAAAGTGCCATATATAAAACATTTTACATAGATTTGCTTTGTATGCAGTTGACATTGTTAATTTATAATTCCTATCCCACAATTTCTGCCATTTATCTAACTCTATAGTATAACCAACATTTTTAGCCTATACTATCATTGTTTCCATTACTTGCTCTTCTTCCATTTTAATACTCAGTAAATAGCTATATAGAGTTTTAATTTGTTTTTCATCTGTCCCTGTTAATATCTGATCTAGTTCTGTTGATTCTTTATAAAAGCAATACGTTTTAGCATCTTTCTCATATCATGAGTCCCTTGGGAGTTGGGCGGCATAGAAATGTGATAAATTAAATTAAATTAAATTAAATTAAATCATGAGATGATCTTTTTGTTGAAGTAAATGGCAATGTGATCTGGTGGGTGAAATCTGGCTTTTAATTTATTATTTTAAATGGCATTTTATTGTAAGCTTCCTAGGGTCACCTTGAACAGATGGATGGCATAGAAGTTTAATAATAAATAAATAAATAAATAAATAGGCTGGTCTCCTCTGAGAGATTCATGAAGCTGGTGAAGAGAAAGAAGATCAGGACAAAGCTATTCCTGTCCCTGTCCCTGTCCCTGTCCCTGTCCCTGTCCCGTCCCATCCCATCCCATCCCATCCCATCCCATCCCATCCCATCCCATCCCATCCCATCCCATCCCATCCCATCCTATCCTCTCACTCTGTGTCTCTCTCCAATGCAGGGAGGAACCAGGCCATTTAGCAGCCTCCTCGCAGGTGAGTGGCCCCACACGGGTCTGTGTGGGGAGGAGGGAGGGAGGGAAAGGAGGGCTTTGAGGTGAATGATGAAGATGCTTTGGGAAATCCCTCTTCTCTCTCCTATTCATCTCAAAGGCTGGAAGGGAGGGAATTTGGGGGAGATCCAGAGGAGCTCTGGGAAGTGGGGGGGGGCTCTGCCTGCCCCCAAACTCTTCTCCTGCAAGGCCAGACTGTGGCTCCTTTTGGGATCTGACTGTCTTGGATCAGGAGGCTCAGAGAGCTGCAGAGAGGAGATTTGTCAAGGAAGGACGTAGCAGCTGTCCAGCTGAAGTCAAAAGACACTGAGACAAACTTGTAGGTTAGATATATAAAAGTATTTAAGATTTATAGTTGCAGCAGACAAGATAGTCAGGAAGACAGGAATATCTTGAGGTAAATCAAAAGGCATATGGAACACACAGACGAAAAAGGCGGGAAAAAGGGAAACTCCCCCTTTATACCCACAGCAACCAATCACAGCATGGATTGCTTCATGCAGAAGCCAGCTCAACCAATCAACTACTGCCCATTGTACACTTACCTGTTCCAGCTCCTAAATTTAATATCCTAACAGGACTGGGGGGTCCTCAGTGCAGGAGGGAAAGAGGGGCAGATGAGGGGCTTCTTGTGGGTCTTGCAGTCATGGATGGAGAAGGGGCTTCTCTCCACTCCTTCAAGCCCTCTGGGGATCCCTCCCTCCAGATGCTGAAGGAAGACATAGGGGGGAGATAGGGATCCATAGGTCTCCGGAAGCAACCCAGACTAGTATTGGATTCCTATATTTGAGGGGGGACATTGATTTTATGTAACTTGTGGGGCAGGTTCTCAGCCGCCTCAGGAGCCAGTCCTAGCCCTGCCTCTCCCTTCTTTCTACTGTTGGAAGAAACATCCTTCTAGGTTCTGCTCCAAGTGGGGAAACAGACACTGGAAACATGGAGACTGCTTGGAAAGATGGTTTAATGGTGGACAGGATCACATGCCTTGAGTTCCTGAACAGAAAAAGGGCTGATACAGTAAATCTTCGGGTTTTTATGCTCTCTCTGGCTCTGCATTTCTTGGGGCCCAGAAAGAGTTTCCTGATTGGTTGTCAGACTCCCAGGGGGTGGGGGCCTTGCTGGCTGATGGTCACGTGCTTCCCAGGTCACATGTGGTGAGTTTCTGCTGCTATTGTGTAGAGGGCTAATCCTATCTTTGGCAATTCCTACTATGGCTCTGCCTGAAGGAGGCAGATCTTTGTTATGTAGAATAGACTGGCCCAGGCCTTAATGGCCCATTGACAAAGGGGGGGGGGGCAGGAAGGTGGGAGCTGCTTTGTCTGTAAAATATGCTTCTCATATTTCTCATCCAGGGAAATATAATATTCTGCCTTTTTCATATTTCCTAAAATATTTCACTCTTCCAGGAAAGGGGTGGGTGCTAACTTCCTACACTACCTTGGAAAATCCTACCCAGCAGATCCCTCTCTTGAGGAAGCAGCAGTTGTCACCAGTGGGATCAGCTGGGCAGATTGGTGCTGATCCCTCAGCCTGGGCGGTGGGATTCCACCTCTGGGCTCCCTCCCAGACTGACCCTGCCTGCTTCTTCCCTCTCTTTGCAGCACGAGTGGACAGTCCCAGCATGAGGAGAGAGGAGAGAAGATGGGACCAACCTTCTCCTGAATTAGGCCGGACTCTCAGGCCCATCCTGCATGCTTGGAACCAGGATGCATTTGGGGTCTTTCACCATCGCTTTTATCATTGGATCAGTAACCTTTTGTATTAGGATTGAGGAATGGAGGAGAAAAGAACATCTTATATGTTTATAATTGTGGAATCAAAAAGATTAGATATTATTATTTTATTTATTAATATCCTGCTGAAAGTATCAAAGATATCCAACACACTCTCCTATTTCCCCCACAACAACCACCCTGTGAAGTGGGTTGGGGTCAGAGAGAATGACTGGCCCACCCAGCTGTCTTTCATGGCTAAGGCGGGACTTGAACTCACAGTCGTTTTCTATCCTGGTGCCTTAACCACTACATCAAATTGCCTTGTATAGCTTCTAAATAGCTTTGTAATATAGCTTGTAGCAACTATGTTGTTATTTCTGGTGACCTTTAATGGGCTTCTGCTGATTAACACAGTGGTCCCCAACCTTTTTATCGCCGCGGCCCGCTGAGCGCGCGCAGGGGTGGAGGCACAGCCCAGGAGCTTTTGCGCACGGCCCATTGCGCACGGCCCAGGAGCTTTTGCGCACGGCCCAGGAGCCTTTGCGCTGCAGCGTTCATGTCCCCCGGCCGCTGCGCGGCCCGGTGCCAGGTACTCCACGGCCCGGCACCGGTCCACGGACCGGGGGTTGGGGACCACTGGATTAACAGGTTTTAGAGAAAGGCCCATAGCAAATGGGGTGAGGAATAGAATGAAGAGTTGTATTTTTACTTTAAGGGAGAGTGATAAACTGTTAATCTCCATCATAATTGCTTGGATTGGAAGTGGAAGTTTTTTTCTCTCTCTTATTGTTCTTTGTATAAGTTGCATAATGAATAATATGTACCATATACTGCCATTTATGGATTTTTACAGTTTAGAAAAATGAAATAGGAACCTTCTCCCATTATGCCGTGCTGAATGGACATAATTTTTTTCTGCTGCCAATGAACAGCTGATTTTGCCACAAAGTTGGTTATTTGGTGGCTTTGCTCCCTGTTTTTTAAAGGGGAGACTAGGAACAACCCAAGATGACCTTCGGACAATCATGCACAGACAGAGAAGAGAGGGGGCTGGATCTTCTGCCATCCTTTCCCTTCAGCTGCTCAGCTTTCTTATGCACACCTGGGTTTTAATTGCACTTTTTAATTGAAGCTTTACAATCTCTTGATTTATGACTAGTTCACTTCTGACCTATTTTATAACCTGGACTTTTACAACTTTTTTTCTCTCCTCTTTCATTGTTTACCATTAAATTTAAATTATTATTTTTTTAATCGTAAGAAAGTTGCAATGGATTTTATGCTTATATGTACACAGGATTATACTATAAATCTTGCTCTTTCTAGCTTTTTACCTTCTTTTTATTAGAGTCACGATATTTAACTCTTAATTTTTATGGAAAAATTTCCCCTTTTTTAACACTGGCAGAAAAAATCCTTTCCCCCTGTGGAAGCTGTTGCTTATCTGCTTCTCTTGACTTTGAGTAGAAAACCAAAAGTGTTTTTCATGTCTTCGAAAGGCGATAAATTATTTTGGGAGATAACTGAAAAAAGAATGCTCTCCAACTTACAGGATCTACGACAGGTCTGTTAGGCTGCAAATAGATCTACAAGATTATAAAATTTGGACCTCTTTTGCAAGGGGGAAATAGATTTCTCAGTGTTCAACGGGGGGGGGAGGGCCTAATATATCTTTTCTTGTTTTTTCATTAATTTTTTTCAATGTTTTTGTTTAGTTTTGTTCTGTCTCTGTTCAATCCTTTTCTTTTGGATTTTAAACTTTTACATAAAATACAATAAAATGGTCAATTCTAAGAAAAGTGGAACAGGAGATCCACAGTTTGGCCAGGCTCCTTTCCCCCTAACTGTTGCACACATACCATAAGAACACGAAAATAGTTTGCTGAAAATAAATGGTTTTGCCTTCTTCTTACCTGAGTTGCTTCCTATTATTGGAAGTTGGGAATAACAAGGATTTTCCCCTCCTGGCTGTTCGGAGACCCTGAGTTCCCTTTGAGTGGCAGGAAGGGGAGGAACCAAGGCAAAAACTGGGGGGCTCCTTGGGGAGGAGGCAGCCATTTTGCTCCTGTGTCCAGATGTTTCTCTTGCCTCAGGCTGTTGGCCAAGTGGCTGGTCTCTGAGCCTCACCCAGTGGCCCTTCGGGAGACAGGAGTTCAATGCCCAGCCAGAGCCGTCCTGATTCCCTGGCAGAAGGGCAGCTTCTCCTGCTTCTGGGAGATCCTCTCTGGACTCCTCAGCTGCCCAATAGGATGCAGTGGCCCAAGAGTGGGGAGACCCCTGATGGATGGGAAAGATGTCCCCCATATTACAGAAAGTCTTCAACTTACGACCACAATTGACCCTAAAATTTATTGAGTTTTACCCCATTTTACGACCATTTTTGCCACAGTTGTTAAGTTAATAATACAGTTATCGAGTCTGGCTTCCCCATTGACTTTGTTTGTCAAAAGGGGACCACATGACCCTGGGACTCTGCAACCGTCATAAGTATGAGGCAATTGCCAAGCGTCCGAATGTAAATCACATGAGCCATGAAGATGCTGAAACGGTCATAAGAGTGAACAATGGTCATATCTCCTTTTTTCAGCTCCGTAACTTTGAAAGGTCAATAAATGAACTGTTGCAAGTCGAGGACTACCTGTATAGTGGATGCTTTCTGGGAGAGGAATGAAAAGGGGGGGCTTTCACTCCAATTCCTTTTGGGCTCCCCAGATGCCCTCAAGAGCTCCCATCTTTGACAGCCTAAAAAGTGGAGAGTTTCCACCTGCAACACAAGAGTCACATTCAGCCTTGGGCAGCTGATAATGTAGCTCCACAAAACTTTTAATGTTATAATAAACAATGTAAAAAAACAATAGAAGGGTTTACGGACTATATTCTATAATTTATATGCAGCCCATGACAATCCCTTTTCACTCAATGCTACCCAGGGAAGCCAGAAGGTTGGAGACGGCTGCTTTAAAGCATTTGGTGAGAATTCAATTCCTATTTGAGCATATCAATTCAAAGGTTTTAGAAACGTTCTCCTTACTTCTAGGTTGGATCTCTCTTTAAGAATCTTCCACCCCTTTTTCTTTTCTCCTTTCCTCTGCAGCTTTGGAGAAGAAGCCGATCCCCTCTTCTTTGTGGCAGCCCCCCAAGTACTGGAAGGCAGTTATCATGGGTCCCCCTTCCCCGATTCTTCTCTGCCAGAGGCTCGAGATCCCTCCCTCCCTCAGTCTATTCCCCATATAAGATTTGGCCTCAGGATCCTTTATGATCTTTTGTTGCTCTTCTCTGCACACTTTGTAGAGTCTCAGCGTCTGTTTTGTATCGTGTTCCCCAGAGTTGTACCCAGCATTCCAAGGGTGGCTTCACTTGTGCAATATAAACCGACATTATCGCTTCTCCTGATCTTGATCTTCTCCCTCTGTTTTTTTTTTTTATTGAAAAGTTTTACAAAAAAAGAAAAAAGGTTTTCCCCCCAATATTCCCCCCACCCTTTCCCTCCCCTCATCCCACCCTCCCCCCCAGACTTCCCAGAGCAAAATACAGGGTACTTCAATTAACAATCATAAGCTAAATTAACCTATCTATCCTTAAACTACTAGATCCCCCCCTGAAACCTTAACTCCACTATAGATAACATAATACTTCTAATTCTTAACGTTCACTCGTAAGCTATTTGATATTTTCTTGTCTGATACTTATTTTGAATATAATCAATCCATCTTCTCCATTCAGATATGTATCTTTCTTGTCTATAGTCCTTCAAATACGCTGAGATTTTCGCCATTTCTGCTAAGTTCGTTACTTTCAGTGTCCACTCTTCAATAGTAGGCAGAGTCCTTCTTCCAGTATTGCGCTACCAACAGCCTGGGTGCTGATATTAAGTTCAAAATCAATTTAGTCTCTAATACTGTACAATCCGTCGTTATACCCAGTAAAAACAATTGAGGAGTAAATTTCAACCTTTTTTTCAAAATGTTCTGCATCACCCACCAAATTTTTATCCAAAATCTTCTCCCTCTCTTGATGCAGCCCAAGACTGCCTTGGCTTTTTTGGCAGCTCCCCCTGATCCCCGGCTGGGAGGGGCTGTGCGGGGTCTCCCCTCCCCCTCACCTGCGCCCCTCCCCCCAGGCCCAGAGACACCTCCCACTTTCCCCAGCCTCCCACTTCTGCCCCTCCCCCAAGAGGCGGAATCCCTGGAAGGAGAATTCCCGATGGAACTTTCGCTTTCCTCTCCACGCCTCTCTCGCCGGTTGCGCCTGGACATCTGCCTAGCAACAATGACAAACATGAGGTTACTTTTTTTTCTACTGGTTGAGCTTGCCCAATCGCCAGCGGGCTCTGGATTGTTGCACTGTAGACCACCTGGAGCCCCTCTCGGTTTGCTTGAGACTTCAGGAGAGCGGAGCGCAGGTTGAGGATCGCGGCCAGGATGGCTCTACGCTCTGCGCCCTTCCTGCTCCTGGTGTTGGTGGCGGTTGCCCTACGAGAGAGCTGCTTTGGTGAGTCCCTTTGGGGGCCTTGGGGGGGGGGGTTTCTCCCTTTTTATCTGCCAGGGAATCTCTCTCTCTCTCCTCCCCCTAAACACTTTATTCCCAAAAGGAGAGTCCTGATTCGGTCCTCTTTCTAGTCCGCTTCCCCTCCCCCTCTGGCCACTTTGGGATTAGGCTCCGAAATTGCCCCCCTCCAGGAGAGCCCCTTTGGGAACAGGACAAGGGTGGACCCTCCAGATGTCACTCAAGTCTACCTGGGCGCCCCGAAGCTCAATTCTTTCCCTCCCTTCCAAAATGAAGATAGTTGGAAAGCGGCGTTTGCACGTGATCAGGTCAGGTCAGTTCACAAACTTCCTGGCTGCCTCCACCCAACTCCCTCCGCCTGGATCCTCTTTCCTGCCTTTGGCGGTGATCTGTGGCTCTTTGTGGCTTCTGGTGCTGGGAGGACCCGGCTTGATTCTCGGTTCCCTGCATTGGCAGAGGCGGAGACTGGTGCAAAGGAGCGACCGGGATAAGGCAGCCGTGTGAATGCAGCAGGATGAGAGTCTGGAGAGAGAAAGGCTCCTCGAATAACCTTCCTCAAGATTCATCCTCTTTCTTTCTTTCTTTCTTTTTAAAATAAATTTTATTAATTTTTTCAGATTAAAATCGACACAAGACAAAGACATTATTTATACATAAAAACAAAAACCATACATTCCCCTCCCTCCCTCCCCCATTCATAACACTAAACAGAAATACAAACACGTCTATCCCAGCAAGTCCTATTCCTGCCCTCATTGGTAAATAATTATACCCACAACACAGAATAAGCTAAGCAATCCCCAAATGTGATTTTCATACAATTATCTTTCAATCTAAATAAGTATATCTCTCCTCATATTAACATAGACCTTCACTTCGTCTCAATTCTTTTATTCAACCACCGATACCAACAGTCCCAGCTTTGAAAAAATTCAGAATCCTCTTTTTCTTTCAACATATACGTCATTCTATCCGCCTCAGCACACTCTAATACTTTGTTTATAATTTGGGCACTAGCTGGTATCTCTTTTTCTTTCCACTGCTGGGCGAACACTATTCTCCTGGAACCTCCCCCTCCCACCGCATCTTAAACCCCAAGATCCCCAAAATTTTCTTTTCTGGGACAGGCAGGGATTTGCCTCCTCAGGTGTTCCTTCTTCCATTCCAGAAGCCACCAAAGTGGGAAAATTTGCGGAATTAAAAATATTTAAAATGTAATATTATGATGTTATTATTCCTTATTTATTTATTTAAATAAATAAGGAATAATAATGCTCTTCTCGCTCCCCGGGTTGTTCAGACCCTCAGGCCCAGGCCTCAGGCCCAGGCCTCAGGCCCAGGGCCTACGGTTGATGTTGTGCAATACCAGGTCCGTGGTAAATAAAGCCCCCCTCATTTGTGATCTGATTGACGAGGGGGGTGCGGACCTGGTAGGAATTACGGAGACCTGGTTGGGCCAGGAGGGGGGGTCCCCCTCGTTGAGATGTGCCCACCGGGTTTCTGCGCATTCCATCAACCAAGGGCCCAGGGGAGGGGCGGGGGGGGTGGCAGTTCTTGTGAAGGAGGGTCTTGCCCCAAGAGAGGCCACTGCACCTCAGATAGCCAGATGTGAGTCTCTCCTGGTGAAGTGGGGACAAGGGAGGCAGATGGGCTTGCTGATTACGTACCTGGCTCCCTGCCACGTGTCGGCTGCCCTGCCCGAGCTACTCAACGTGATTGCCGAGGTGGCGCTGGAGACCCCCAAGCTTATGGTCATGGGGGACTTCAACCTGCCATCTGTCGGCGAAACGTCTGAGGTGGCTCGGGAGTTCATGGCTTCCATGACGGCCATGGACCTGACCCAGCTAATTCATGGACCCACTCACACAGGAGGGCACACTCTGGACTTGATTTTTGTCTCTGGGCAGTGGATGAATGATCTCGAGATAGGGGCAGTAGCAATTGAGCCCTTGTCATGGTCGGATCATTCCCTTCTTAGGCTTGACTTTCTAACCGCTACACCCCGCCGCAGGGAGGCAGAACAAACTAGATGGTTCCGCCCCAGGCGCCTGATGGATCCTGATAGGTTCCAGATGGAGCTTGGGCCATTTTCTGAGGCTCTGACTCATGACTCGGCCGAGGAACCGGTGGCCGCCTGGGATGGGGCGGCCGCTGGCGCTTTGGACCGAGTCGTGCCTTTGCGGCCTCTGACCCGTTGCCAAGTCTACTTGGCTCCTTGGTTCTCTGAGGAGCTGAGGGAGATGAAGCGCCGGAAAAGACGTCTAGAGAGCAGTTGGAGGTCTAGTCGGTCCGAATCTGACCGAACACGGGTAAGAACTCATATTAAGACCTCCCTAGTGGTGATAAAAGCGGCAAAATTTAATTATTTTTCCGCTCTTTTCGCATCAGCAGATAACCGCCCAGCCGCCCTGTTTAGGGTGACCCGCTCCCTCCTCCATTCAGGACCGCGGGAGGATCCCTTGCAAGGTCGTGCTGAGGATTTTGTTCAGTATCTGCACGATAAAATCACTCAGATTCGGGAAGGCCTGGTCTCCGACTGGATAGGTACAGACGGGATGATGGAGGCCGGTCTTGAGAATGTCATTTGGAAGGAGTTCAATCCTGTTGCTCCCGAGGACGTGGGCAGGATACTGGGGCGGCTGAATGCGACCACATGTTTATTGGACCCGTGTCCCTCCTGGTTGGTACTGGCCTCCCAGGAGGTTACACGAGGCTGGCTCCAGGGCATTATCAACGCTTCCTTGGGTGAGGGTGTCCTGCCATCGGCCTTGAAGGAAGTGGTGGTGAGGCCTCTCCTCAAGAAGCCTGCTCTGGATCCGGCTGTTTTGGCTAACTATCGTCCGGTTTCCAACCTTCCCTTCGTGGCGAAGGTTGTTGAGAGTGTGGTGGCACGACAGCTGCCTGGGTACCTGGATGAAGCTGTCTATCTGGATCCACGCCAGTCTGGCTTCAGGCCTGGGCACAGCATGGAAACGGCATTGGTCGCGTTGGTGGGTGATGTCTGGAGGGCTCGGGATAGGGGTTGTTCCTCTATCCTGGTCCTGTTAGATCTCTCAGCAGCTTTTGATACCATCGACCATGGTATCATGCTGCGCTGGTTGGAGTGGCTGGGAGTGGAGGGCACCGTTCTACGGTGGTTCTCCTCCTATCTCTCCGACCGGATGCAGTCAGTGTTGGCAGGGGGGCAGAGGTCGACCCCGAGGCACCTTGTGTGGGGGGTGCCGCAGGGATCGGTCCTCTCACCCCTTCTGTTCAACATTTATGTGAAGCCGCTGGGCGAGATCATCTGTGGCTTCGGGGTGGAGTTCCATCAGTACGCTGACGACACTCAGCTGTACATTTCCACCCCAGGCCATCCCAACGATGCCCTTGAAGTGATGTCCCGGTGCTTGGAGGCCGTGCGGATCTGGATGGGGAGTAACAGGCTTAAAGTCAACCCCTCCAAGACCGAGTGGCTGTGGCTTCCGGCGTCCCGATATAGCCAGCTGGCGCCATCGCTGGCTATTGGGGGTGAGTTATTGGCCCCCACGGAGAGGGTTCACAACTTGGGTGTCCTCCTGGATGCACGGCTGTCTTTAGAAGAGCATATGACGGCCGTGGCCAGGGGGGCTTTTTATCAGGTCCGCCTGATTCGCCAGTTACATCCCTTTCTGGATCGGGACTCCTTACGCACAGTCACTCAGGCACTCATCACTTCCTGCCTGGACTACTGCAATGCTCTCTACATGGAGCTCCCCTTGAAGTGTACCCAGAGGCTCCAGCTGGTGCAGAATGCGGCTGCACGGGGGATTATGGGAGCGAGAGGGCGCTCCCATGTGACACCTCTCCTACATGAGCTGCATTGGCTCCCGGTGGACTTCCGGGTGCGCTTCAAGGTATTGGTTACCACCTTTAAAGCGCTCCATGGCATTGGACCTGGATATTTGCGGGACCGCCTTCTGCCACCAATAGCCTCCCACCGGCCAGTATGCTCCCACAGAGAGGGACTCCTCAGGGTGCTGTCAGCTAGGCAGTGTCGGCTGGCGACCCCCGGGGGAGGGCCTTTTCTGTGGCAGCACCTGCCCTCTGGAACGATTTGCCCCCGGAGATACGGAGGATATCAGATCTCCGGGCTTTTCGCCGCACCCTAAAAACTTTTCTCTTCCATTAGGCAGGGCTGGCGTGAAACCCCCCCCCCATTTTTGAGATATTAGATTTTTAATTGTTTAATGGGTTTTAGTCGTAAGGTTCTTAATTTTTCGGCCAAAGGATATAATTCTTTTAAATTTTTAACTTTTGTAATGGATGTTTTTTACTTGGCTGTGCACCGCCCTGAGTCCACCAGGAGAAGGGCAGTATACAAATTTAAATAATAATATTATTATTATTATTATTATTATTATTATTATTATTATTATTATTATTATTATTATTATTATTAATTTATTTATTAGTTTGATTTATATGCCGCCCTTCTCCGAAGACTCAGGGCAGCTTACAATGCATTAAGCAACAGCCTTCATACTTTTGTATATACCTGCTTAGTAGGGCTTTCACCCCGCCCCCCCCAAGCGGTGTTCTTTTTATACAAAAAAAGGTCCTCATTTTACCTACCTTAGAAAGGATGGAAGGCTGAGTCAACCATGAGCCTGGTGAGATTTGAACTCGCAGTAATTGCAGGCAGCTGGCAACTAAGTGCTACTTTAACAGCACTTAGTCCACTGCGCCACCAGGCTCTTAGTAATCCGGAAGGGGCCTTCGGAAGTTCCTAGCTGATCGCTGAGAGAAACTATCAATGAAGCATCTTTTCCAAAGGCAGAAAGAAAAACTGTCAGGATCTTAACCATTAAATAGGCTGGGTTGGAGGCAGAAGAAGAGAAGCAACTCTGGTTGCTGACCATGAAATGAACGGCTTGCTTGGACACAGACAGTCCTGACTTGAGGAGGATTCATGACTGTGAGGATGTCCCACCTGCGTTACATTCACACATTTCTCCTCAGCCCCA